TGATAGATAGACAGACAGACAGACAGATAGATAGACAGACAAGCAATTCTTGGTTCTTTTCTTGTAATTGATAGCCGTATGGAAAGACACTATGTTATTTCTCTCTTCATTAACTGTATAGATGTTTTTAATTGATGTAGGACAGAATCATAGAAAGATATCTTCCATATCATCCTTACAAGATATGAATTAGCTCATAGCTCACTCAATTCTTCACTCTTTGGCGTTTCTAATAGTATAAAGACCCAATACATTTTTTTACTTATTTTAGATATTTTGAAGTCTCTCACTACCTTTATTAGCATTGGTTTTTATTTTTGTGTCATAAAATTAATTCAGAGAATTATCTGATCAATGTCTCCTTTTTTATGTCACTGAATCAATAATTTCTCACTCCAATAGTCTCTTTTTCACTGGCTTCTCCTTTCATCTGACTCTTTTGTCTGAGGGCTGTACACAAGTTTAAGCAATGCATTAGCTTTCCCTCTTTATACTTTTCACATACCTTTGCCATATTGAAAGCTTTTCTTCTGATAATCTTTTAAACTCTGTCCCAAATGCAGAAGATGTCTTGGATATTTTGTCTTCAAATAGTTTGGTTCATGCTACTTGTCACTAACCACATGCCAGCTGTTACCAATTCCTGTCTTATAAATATTAGCAGGCCACGTTGACTGATGTTGTACATGTAGCACAGTTCTCATAGATGTCCACTATGCTTTCTATTTATAGTACTATTTCTAAAACTCCTTCCATTCTAGATAAAATATTACTTTCAATTAGAATCATAAATGAATAGAATTAATATTTAACTAGCATAACCTGATCATTAGGAGATCATCATGAAGGAGCTGGCAGATATTATCCCAGAACAATTGCACCACATCTTTCATAAATCCTGGAGCACTAGGGAAGTACTTGAGGATTGGAAAAGGGCTGATGTGGTTCCCATCTTCAAGAAAGGGGAAAAAAACTACAGACCAATCAGCTTAACATCAATACCTGGGAAGATCCTAGGAAAGATAATAAAAAAAATAGATCTGCGAACAATTAGAAGATTTAAGTAAGGCATTTGATAGAGTAGACCACAACCTACTCCTTGGTAAGCTAGAAAAAGGTGGAATAGACAACATCACCACCAGATGGATCTGTAGAGTCATGTCATTTGTTTCCCTTTCTTATTGTACACACCAGAGCTTATAAATATTATTTACATTGCAGTTATGGTTCCACAATTTAGTCTGGATTCTACATTTAAGATGTCAAATGAATAGCCATCCTGCCTGGCAGTTAACCTGAGAATTACAATAGCTGCTATAATAAGAGAAGATCTCAGACATATAAATTGCATAGCCTATAAATTCACTTCATCTCTTCCTATAAAGAACTTGTAAAGACTTTTGCTTCTGTTATAAATGAAATAACAATTATCCTCTTTAAAGCAATTAAATCAAATGTACTTAGTTACTTCTTACAAAACACAAGTTCTCACAAGAGGAAAAGATGCTTTCCTATGTGCATTCTTGATGCAAACCAGAATAGATTGCATACTGAACATCCCAGTGCAAACAGTGTGAGACAGATGACAGTATAATATTATTGTGCGAAAGGAAAATATGATTCACTTGCTGCAATAAAATCTCTGTTTATGTGACAGTGTACATTCCTGATCCAATTCATAAGGCGCATCATGATGATGCCTCAAGAATTTATATATGGTTTATACAAAACTGGAAGATGCTGCCAGATGAAGAATTATGGTAATAATGGAAATTTATATCACACCATTTTTAAATCTCACTTTATATTTGAATGTAGGGAAGGAATCTGATGAATTTACACTGTTCTGAGATGAACTGGTAATACACTCTTTTGGGAAATAAAGAAAAAGCTATTACTAAATATGGGATTGCTAACTCTGTCCATCCCAGCAGATTGGGGTATAATTTAGTTACTCTTCACTTCTGTGGAGGAAGAGAGCTGAAAGGGTTTTTAGGATTCATTCTCCCAAATATTTGAGGCATATTATTTACTGAATAGGCAATCTGAATCTCATCCAGCAACCATATTATGTGATACATTTTAAAAAATTACTAAACTGAAATTTATTTCTGTAGTAGTGGAATAAACAAATGAATATTTAATCTTATTATTAATCCAGTGACAAAAAAGTGTTGCCACTTCCTTTCTCAATTTTTCTTTGTTCTAAATAGTATCCCCAGCAAAGTGTATATTGTAAGAGATTCTTAAATATTTTGACATTAAAAACCAGTATAATTTGTTGATTCTATGCATGAATAATATTTGTGCATTCCCCTATATTGCTTGTGAATGATCTGATAGCTGCTATTCTTAGAGAAAGATCATGTGACACTTTTAAATTTTCTTTGCAATATTTTGAAAAGTTGGAATCAAGTTACACTCACTTGATCAACTGGAATAAAATATTTTAATATTGTTGATGGCAAATTGAACTATTCTCCAAAGATTTGGTGGTTCTATCAAGAGTGAGCTATGTATGCTGTTTCATACCAACTACTTGATGTTGGCCTTAACCTCATCTCTGGGAACAAGAAAATCTCCCTTTCCCAGTAGTTTTCTTCTGCATCTCTCTTTATATCAAGATAACTTCAGTGAAGACAGTGAAAAAAACCCAAGTCCTTCATTCCAATGGCAAATTTGCAGTGAGAATCTTTCTATTTTTGTTCAATTCCAGCTGGATATGATTCAAGAATCTGATGCTTCCCACTACTTTTTTTTTCTTTGTACTTTAGCTAACTTTGTAATGGCATGGATTCAGAAACCAAGGATAAACCTCAACTTGAGTTAAAGCAGAGGATCGTAGACTGTATGTTTGTGTGCATATGTGGAGAGAGGAAAAAAGAGAGAAAGAGTATCAGAGTTATAATACATATCCTATTCCCTCTATACATTTTAGGTCATCAAACACATTTTTATTTATTTTAGGGTTATGGTTGCATATTACATTACAGACATTGTAGAAAGAGAGATGTCTGGCTATGGAAATAAAAAAGTCAGGAGTCTGGTAGTACCTTTTCTGACTAAAGCGTTAGCTTTTCTAAGCTGCATCTCATTTCATGAATGATTAAATTGATACAGGATTTAAGTTCAAATGAGATGGAGGGAGGCAGAAGAAAGGGGAAGACAAGGAAAATACTCATGAAAGCTTGAGATTGAGTGTTACTACAAAGAAAGCTGCAATCTCTATATGTCCTGTAAAGGTTTTGAATTGTGGAGTTGTTACTTCTACTGATGGTATTCCCCCAAAATCTAGTTTGCTTCATGTTAACTTTTGAACCATTCTCTTTAGTTTCTCCCATGTTCACAGAGACTATTATAGATGTGCACCTAGTTGTCATGTGCCACAGAAGAATATGGAGGATTTATAATACAGATGAAATCACTGAGCTGCTTATATATTATAGCTGAATCAACAAGGTAGAAAACTCTTTAAGAACCCTGCTATGAATTTAATCTCAAGAGTTTGCATGATTCATTCTCTTCTGTTGTTTTAGTAGAGCAAATGACAAACAAATGAATGCTTTGACATAGACATGCATACATGTGACAGTCTCACATTTTAGAATTTGTTAGTCTTCTCTGTGGCAGTCATCCAGAAACAGTCATAAACATACCTCCCTCTCTTGGGGTAAGTTTGTTTTTGCAGAATGTAAACATTCCTCTGAAAAGTCACTGCAGAAGCCAGTCCACCATCGAGTGGCAGCAGGCCAGCAGAGCACATGGGCACAAGTGCAGGCGTCCAAGAAGACAGATGTCTCAAATCAGGTTTAGAGGGATAGGATCCACCTGATGTCTGAACAGTTAGAATCAGTATGGTAAATAAATGTAAATATAGATAATCCACATTTTGGCAGAAGCAGCACGGATAAAATCCCAAAACACAACTTCTAGGCCACATCAGAGAAATTTCCCAGTTCAGCAGAAAGTGCATCTTAGGAGAGTTATGGAGCTCACATATTTGTAATGTGAGAAATAATTTATTCAATCCCAGAGTGTAGAAAGACATTTCTGAATTTTGTGAAATACAAGTGGCAAATAAACAGAGGATCTGTTGTTGGTCATATTAGAAATCTAGCCTCTGCTATATTACTCGAGAATAAATGGTGCCAAAACCTTTGCATTTCCTTCCAGTATTTCAGTTAGCTGCTTACAAAAGCAAAAAGAAAATAGTTGCAATTCTTTGCAGGGGTCATCCCCCACATGAAATATTAATGGAAAACTATTATTAACAGAATTTGATATCATTTAGTTTTAGGAATCAGTTATTATTTATAACTCAGCTTATTATTCAGTCATTACTCATTTATAATTCACTTTGGACAAAATATTATTTTTTCTGTTTGTAAGTTATTCTGGATATTTTAAAATAGAAATAAGATATAATTGTGAGGAATATAAAATACATTTAGTAAAAATATTTCTGAAATTTCAACAAAATACATAACCTAAATATATGTATTAGGATATTTCAGAATCACTTGCGTGGGATTGTATAATGCAAGAATATAGACTTGATAGTGGAAAGTAGAAAGTACAAAACGTGCAAGTAAATGGACAACTAGACAGAATGAAGAAGAACTTATTGGATATTTTGTGACATCATTATATTCTTTATTTCTAATTCTTTTCAACTCTTTATAATTTCAGTTTTCTTCTTATCATGGTAAAAATGGCTAGAAACCGTTCTGAAAAACGAAACTAGAATTTCTCAGGAAAAAAATATATTTTGATACCATTAGAAAAGTATTTACAGGAAGGAAGAAGGTACTCTAATGTTTTTCTTCTCATAGTATTTTCATTGCATACAGGGATATCTACAAGATATGTTCAAGAATAGCAATAGCAACAGCATTTAGACATATACTGCTTCCTGGTGCTTTACAGCCCCTCTAAGTGGTTTACAGAGTTTACAGAGTTAGCATATTGCCCCTAACAATCTGGGTCTTCATTTTACTGACCTCGGAAGGATGGAAGGCTGAGTCAACCTGGAGCCAGTCAGGATCGAACTGCTGAACTACTGGTAGCTGGCAGTCAGTAGAAGTAGTCTGCAGTACTGCGCCACCACGGTATTGGTTACAAACTCAAGGTATTGGCTACAATTATATGATTGAAAGGAGGGCGGGACAAAGGGAGGGAGGGAAGGGGGAGGAGGAAGGTTTCCAATACTCCCTGCCAGCTTCTCCATTGAACAGAAAGTTGGGAGTTGCTCCCATTCCCACTGATTTTTTTGCCTTCTTGTGGTCATTCTGTTTCTCGGTTTAGGTAAGGAAATATGTCTGAAATGATGACTTAATTAGACATAGGTTGAATAGTAATTCTCTACTTTATATGATCCTGTATGTTTGTAAACAAAATTTATACCTTAATATAAGCATTATTTCCAAAGGAAGTGAAAAGGAATTTGCTTCAGGTTTTCTATTCTCTGCAAAATTGGAACTTTTTCTTTTATGAATGATCTTTACTGGATAATCTTTCAATATGTTGAGTGTACATTCTCTTTCCCTGCACCAACACAACAGGCAGAAACATTTGAATCTATTTTCTTCCAAAACTCAGAAAAGAGAGACTTGGAAGGAGAGTTAATGAATGGTTATAGACATATTATATAATATTATCTACTGTATATATGCACACATGTATGAATTTAAATGACCTTTTAGGGCAAAAGGTCTGCATTAGATTGTGAAAACAGTTTAGTACAGCAAACAAAATTAAATTAAAAGCCCACAGCTGAAAATAACACCAAAACTTATAATACAGTACATGAGTTTAAACAAGAACAATTTTGTTTCAGCTCAGCAACTGACAAATAGGATTTGGAATTTGTGAAGCTCAACTTCTGTTTTCTGTGTGTTTTATAAATGTGGTCAGAAATAATTAGAAGCAAATATTGCCAAGTTTGAGAAACAGTTGGTTTTGGAAGTTTGTTATCAACCTGAAAGAAACAACAGGAACTCCTTGCCCTGTACGTGCATGCTTTTTTGGGATAACTGAGTACATTAAAAAAAAAGTTAAGAAAAAGAAAAATGAAAGAAATGCACAATACTAGAATGGAGGTGTTTTGACAGTTCTGAATGGTAATTTTATCACAAGGATTTAAAGATACATCATTAGGTCTTGTGGTAACAAGCCAAGCTATGCAAAGCGTGTTCAGAATTGTTGGTGCTGTCGCTAAAATAAAAGCCTCGTCACACATCTGAGGTGCCTCTTTTGGTGCTGGGGGGGGGGAGACTCCACCCTGAAATTGCTAAGCTTTTGGATTCCAACAATCCCACAAACCCTGTTTTTATAATGCACAGACTTTAGCTGGAGACCTTCATTTTGGGACCAGAATTCACTTCTTTATTTTTCTGGTTCATGAAGCATTGAAACATTTCACATATGAATGAAAGTATGTTTAATTATTTTTTGATCTAAGTTGCTTCCTTAAAAGAACTGATGATCTGCATTCAGATTGTAGTAGACTGACTATATGTACTTCTTGGTCCCAAAAGTATATGGTAGATATTTGTCTTTACAAAATGCTGTCAAAACATCACCAACAGTGAGATACATTAGTATCTATTTTAATTAGTTAAATATGCAGTTGGTTAATGCAAAGTAGTACAGCAAATACACTGATATTTACTTAATGAAATTATCAGTGTTACTTTTTCTTTACCTAAACAATTACTTCTTGGTAAATATTTAGCCATTATCTGATATCAATCACCATTTCTTAATATTTATAATGAACACTACATAACATTTGAAGATCACTTACTTTTCTCTCTGTTATATCTATTTTTTACTTCAAATAAAAGATGTTGGACTATTGTGCGCCTTGATAAGCATATTAAAAGTGATGTTATATTAGAAAACTGAATGTAATACTTTATTCTACAAACTTCAAACAGATCAGACACATAGTTTCAAAGGTGAAGTATAGAAAGGTTTGCAGTTATCATAAAAGTTCAGATTCCAATTTACAATTTAGAAAACATGCATATTTTAATCAATGAAGTGAGAGGCTGATTAATTTGATTCATAGCACGATCTGATTCAAAAATCTCACTGAAGCCTGCCAACATCTGTAGTTCTTTTCCTTGTTTGACCTCTAATTGGATGATATTTAAAAGTGTAATAAATATTTATGAGAGGAAGAAACCTACCAGTTAGTAAACAAGTGCAGAAGTTTTGGACAGTGCAATAAGTATATTTTAAAAACCAGAAAGATTTTTAATGGTTAAAATTGAAAGAACAACACTTGCAAATATAATTTTTCTTGCTAAATTTCAAAAAGTTCTAAGAGTGGAGATTATTTACAGTCTTTACATTTTTTTTGCCTACAATGTGACACGGGGAGAGAGTTCTAATATAGACTCAAGGTCTGGATTATGCTTTGATATATCTGTATTTTTAGCATTCACCTTGCTGTTTTCAGTTCACAGACCTTTTAGCAAAGAGCATGCAAAATCTAAGAAACTTCTATGCTGTTTTTACATGTACTTGGAATACCTGCTGTATTCCCTGAAGTCTCAGTGTTTATAAGATTTTTGTAGCAAATAATTCCAGATAAACTTCTCAGCTTGTGTTTACAGGATGAAAATAGTGAGAAGCTAAAGGGACAGTAAAATATTTTGGATAGAACATGAAGAATACAAGCAATACTGTTAAATCATTAAGTGTGATTCTTTGTTCTTGTTTTACTGGCCATATATAGGAAGGGCTTGAACTGGTTGGCAAGTCTTGCTATGGATACAACATGCTCTTCATCTCTAACACAGTAGAATCTCACATATGTATGTTACAGACAACATATTATTATACCAACTTGAAGCACTGGAGTAAGGAAACTGATAAGAAACAAATCATCTATGTGTGATCTTTAATGGTATTTATGTTGTTGAACACTGCCTTAAACTTTTCAATATTTGTTAGTAATCTTTTCAGTGGAATTCTAACCAGTCTTAAGTGCAATGGGATTTTTTTCTTCTTCCTGTCACCTCTCTTGGTGCAAGAACATATTGCATTCCTAGACCTAGTATCAGGATTGTGATAATGAAATAAGTAGGATCAGCATAAAATCTGGGGAAATATTGGCAAATATCTATTTGTTTTAGACAACATTAATTTTAACGGTTTCTATGTACTAATTCCTATGGCCAAGTTCATCTTGTTTCTCCACATATGCCTTTTTGTCCCTGTGAAAAAGACTGTATGAAAAAGTGCTATCATGTACACTTTAGATCAAGGGTGTCAAACTGCCGCCCCGCGGACTGGATGCGTCATGCCGAAACTGCACCCACCACTTTGCCAGCAATGGAAAAAAGTTGCAATATGTTGCAACATGTCATGTGATGTTGCAAGTTTGACAAACCTGCTTTAGATAAAGAGATAATGTATAATTGTTGCTGAATTCTAAGTTATCTTTTACATCTTTGAGATATTAGTGTTCATCTTATAGAAGAATGGAGTTTTTTATAAAAATATGGGAAAATTATTGGCAAATATCTATCAGTTATAGACAGAATTAATTCTCAAATAATTAAGAATTGTTTTAATTCATTAAATGTATCAATGTATTATATTATATAAATGTTATATTAATGTTTATATACATTTCCGGGACAAGCTTGACTATGAGAATAAGCCTCCTTTAGGATGTTTCTGATCTGTTTTTTGTTTGTTCATCTCCTTATCTTATTAAGGACTCTTGGCAGTTTTATAGGCATGCTTAAACTTCTGTTCTAAAACATCCATTGTCAATTTAAAGATAATTAAACATTCTCTGAAACAGGTCTATTTTTAATTACTTCCAGAAAGCAGCTCCAATAGGAGCTAACTTAAGTTCCAGTAGGAGCCCATTTCAGAGGTCTGGAATTGTGATGTAAAAGCAGCAACTCCATATTTTGCCTTGCCTTCCAGTTGATTTTCCTGGCAAGATCAGGAAACACATAGGCCATTTTGTACTAGGCTTATCTGGTTTTTTTTAACTTTTAATTAATTTTCCAATGTTACAATTATATCATTGAAAAGCAACGTGGAGTCTGAGTTACAATAATTCCATTACATACAAGTATTATTAATACAAATCTCCAACTATTACAGCCAATATTTCCTGTTTTTTCCCTTAATACTGTCTCTTGTTTAAATTAGTATACTTCTTATTCTAGCCATCAGCTACTTAATAGCTTTCTTACATTTATCAATAATTTTATATGTCTTATTTATTTTAACATTCCATTTTTTGGACTATCAATAACCTTATGAATTTTCCCAGCTTTAATTTTGCGTTGATATTTAAATTAAATGTTTAATATTTATCATTTCCAAATTTTTAAATGACCCCAATTCCCTTTGTCACAATTCCCCCCAATATCTAGTGTTCCAGATACATATCTTATCTATCTCACTTCTATATCAACAGATTAGTAATACAATATAATATTCTTATTTTCATTATAATTTCCAAATATTATAGATTCAATAACCAAAATTTCTCCCATTTCAGCATTCTTCCTTAGGTCCACTTTCTCACATTTAAGCTTATAATTTTTATTCTTATCACTACATCAAAACATGTTAATTACGTTACATCACTCTTAACATATCCAGTATATGTCTTAATCACCTTTATCTAACCTTTATAAACAACTCAATATTTCAGTTTAATTGTTGATATTTATGCATCTAGGTTTTAATTAGCCAACATTTTTCTTTATCTTCACATCATAACAATATCTTGTATTCAAAATACGGGTCTTGTCTACTTAAGTATATTCTATTTTAAACCTCCTAAATATGTCCACATTCCATTCTTCTTCAGTCTTATTCTGGCTTTTTTTCTTTGCCAAATCATCTTCCATGTCCTTGCTTCAGGGTTCTCAAAGAATTCTTGTATTATTGTATATATTATGTCATATTGAGATGACCATCCAGTTGCCATTTTTGGAAGGCTGAGGGTCTGGCAGGACTACCAGATCATCTCTTTATTTTCTCCTCTTGACGTAGTTGTCCTGAACTGTTTATCTTTTCTTCCATCTGTTTCTCTTCTTGATCTTCAAATTCCTTCTGATTTATTTAGCAGTTTTTTTTCCTCTGTCCAAGTTGTCAGATTTTTTTCTGAATTTTCTATTGTCTGTACTTGTTGGGCAGTTAGGTCTTCTGTGATAATATTTAATTGTTTGATTTTTTTCTGTTGTATTCTGTACAACAGGTTTTTAGTTATAGTCAAAGTTTGAGTTTGCATATCTAAGATGCTTTTGGGTTTTTTTCCGAAGGCTCTTATTTCATCACCAGCTGTAAGAAGAGTTTTGGTAAGTTATTTTCAATATAGCAAAAATTTGTTTTTGCATTTCTTCCATAGAAAAGATCTGTTCCTGGTCTTCCATAGTGATGAGTTGAACTGAAAACTTTTACAGTCCCCCCCCCCAGTAAATAAGAAACAGAGCTAAAAATCTCACAGCTGGTGTTCAAAGTCATACGAATCTTATCTTGTTTTCTGAACTGTCAGCCAAGTCTCTATTCTTTAAAATAATAAATTGCAATTTCAGGTTTAGCCACAAGATGTCACCCCACTGTTTAAGGAATTCCTTTAAATTTCAAAGTTATTTTAACCTTTTCAGTTATTTTCTTCTATTTTAAGAGGAAAAACCCAGACTTTCAAATAGAAAGAAAAAAGTAAAAAATAAAAAATCTTTTAATGCGCAAGCTTTAGGAAATAAAGTTCCAATTGGGATCCAATTATTTTTTCAACATTTTCAAAACTCCCCTGTATATTCGATCACCACTGTTTCTAGAGGAAGGGCTAAAATCCCCCTTCCCTCTCTACAGGGGGAAAAGTACTCTAGCAGCTTGAATAGGTAGAAAAAAGCAATTAGGATTTAAGAGAGGTAGATTTCACCCAGTCCTTTCCATGCTGCTTTGAAGTTGCCAGATGGTAGTGTGACTTTGGCTATCTGCAGCTTAGGGACGAGCCATATTTCTATGGCCGGTCCTTTCATCCACTGATTGGAGGGATCGCCAGCTCCACCAGGAGAGTTGCTGTTCTCCTGCGATCCAGTGAGAGCCCCTCCTTGCTGGTTGCCTCTTTGGGGTGACTTTTGGCCCTTTTCAGGGGCCCCCCAGCGATCCAAAACTGAACGGGGGAGAGAGAGCAAGTCTCCCAGCTGTCCATGGCGGCTGTGCGGCAAACCGGAAGTCAAGTACTAGGCATATCTGGTTTTGAAGGTACTTAGTGCCAAGTCATAAATATCTTTATAGGTTAACACTATCACTATCAATTATACCCAGACTCAATAGGAGATTGTTTTAAGTCACCAAAATTGATTAAAATAATTATGCAGTTATTTGGATTTAGTTTGGGAAACATTCCTAATCAAGCACAGTGGAATCATATAAAGTGTTTTTGAAGAACAACTCTAGTCCATTTCAAATTCACTGAGCAATCATTTTTTTCTCAATATGTATTTCAGAATTCTAAGCATGGTAGATAAATATTGAAATAAAAGGACTCTGGATATAGTAAAATAACACATCAGGCTTTATGCAGCCACCCTAACTGTACTATTTCTATTTGCAGGAAGAAAAACGTGTGTGGGTGTGGGTGTGCACATGTGTGTGCGCACATGGTATTCAAAGATATGGTCATCCACCTCTTGTTATATTCTGTGTATAATTGGTATCCACAGGGCTGGTGGTTGCAGCACTGTGGATAGCTCCCAGTGAGGAACTTTCTTTAAGGAGGGCTAGAGGTGATCTATAAGACATGACAAATTTCTGCTTCAATGTACAGTAAGATATTCTCAAGGCACCATCGTCTGTTCAAAGAATTAAGACTTTTAAAAAGTGAATGACCAGGCCTGGAAGACATTGAGCAGAGATGGCAGCATAGGAGAATAGAAGTTACCTTTTAAGGTTCAGAGCTGGTGCTTATGAGGGCCTAATTTTAGTTCTTCACACTCCTTAGCAGATTGTCCGTCTCTTCTGCCTCCAGAATCAAGATCAAGGTCTTGATACTGCAGTCTGAAATGTCTATCCATTTTAGAGCACATCTGGAAGAATCTTTGACATCATAATATTGTGTATTTTCAGGAGCCCTGAGATAAAATAATAAATATTTTCTTTTTAGGATTACAATAAAAGTCAGTTAAACAAATAACATATAAGATAGCCAATATTTTATTATTTCTAGGAATTAGTCCAGGGTGGGAATTTGTATGTTTAAGGACATGTATATTTAAGATACGAATATTATGGCACTTAGTTTGTGCAAAATAGTTTTATTTATTTATTATGTATTGTTATTTTTGTACATTGTTCTGAGTTGCCCAGAATTATTTTGTATAAATATTTAAATAAATAAATAAAGATGTACTCATTAAAACATGAAACTGATTCAAAAATACTCTTGACCATAGTGCTCTAAGGAGGATGTTGGGTTAATTGTGGTCTATTAGCCAGCTTTCTTAATATGCAAAAGAAAAATATAAAATGAATTATTTTGTTCATACATTATATTAATAAAAAGCCACAAAATTAATAGTATAACAACAATGCCAAATGAATTACATAGAAATAATAACATGAACAGTTGAAGTGATAAAGAAATATCCTTTTACTGATTCTACTTTGGATTCAAAATATAAAAACAGATATGATAAGAATTCCATCTGTATGTCATGACTTGTGTCAAATAATTGCCACTAATAAGTCCATGGGAAATAAGAAAACTACAACATTTTGGAATACATTTCAACTGTGCATCAATATAGTTGTACATACACTTGCATGCTGAGAATTGCATGCTATTTGATCCCTCTTAATTCAATATACTTATATACGAAAAAATGGAAATTCTGTGAACTTTATATATGAGAAACTTCAAGAAGATGATGAAATAAACAGTAAAAATAGTATGCGGTTGGGAACCCACTTACCAACATTAGCTATAAAAGTTGGCTGGGAGTGTCAGCAACCAGCTGTGAAAACATGTAGGGATGGGAAACACTGAGAAATGTCAAATAATAGATTAATACTGTATCAGTGGCTCAGCTGAAAACAGTATTTGACACGGGCACAGGTTCTTTATGAGATATCTTTACTTAAATATTATTATGTAGCAGAATTGTGAGTGATATCTGTTAGACATAAAGGTAATAGGCTAATATTGAGCTAAAACAATAAACGGTAGTTACTATATGATTTTCAGAGATAAACAATTCTGTGACCTATCATAGTACATTGACCAAAAAAGTGAATGGACTGGCAGTGGGGACTGGATGCTGAGTGGGCCTATGCTATTAGAAAATAAAAAGAAATTGGGAAAAAGAAGTAAGGGGTCTGCTGATAGAAGGAAGAACACTTGAGGAAGAAATAAGTAAAAGGCACTTACAGCACCTGCACAGAATTTACTCCAGATCTGTGTGAGCCATGAGTAAGTAATAGCAGGTTCCTGTTTCTAATCTTTCAAAACTTTCAACCTATAAAAAATCTATAGCTGACAGAAAGATTAATAGACTGATGAAAATGAAACTTTTCTCACACAAAAGGGAGTGGGAAAATGCAACCTTGTTAGTAGCATGAAGATCTTTATATGTAAGATGCCTAAAACTCTTCTCAGTGGTTGCCAGTGATTTAGTTCCCCTTCACAAAAGGACCAGGGGTTACATAGTGAAAATACCTGGTGCATCCAATTGCCTTGTGTTGTGTTTTCTGACATTGTATTCCATGAGATTCCTCTGGATGTCATGTAGAAGAGAGCTTCCTAGCAAGAACAATTTTTTTTCTCAACACAGAGGTTCAGTTATTTTCACATTTGATCAATGTAAGGAATCATTAGTCCTTCACAGACAATTCAGGACTCCTAAACATAGAGTTCTGAAGATTAAGTCTTAAAACATGGCATGTTTCCTCTGGAGGCCTTCTCTTAGAAAGAGAACTGAAATTCTTTCTGTGATGACTATGGAGATTCTCAGTCATCCAGGTCATGATTGTCCCAAAGGTGCTTTTTTTCAAAAGGCAACTGGACTTTCTCGTTTTTTCCTTGAAGACATGAAGCTTCTTGGATGAGAAATTAGACGTCTTCAAGGAGAAACAAAGTCCAGTTGCCTTTTAAAAAAGCACCTTTGGGGCATGCTCTTTCCACAAGATTAGCAAATTACTTCTGGAAATTCTGAAGTGGAACATGTAGTTTCTAGACAGTGTAATTGACAGAGAACACAACCAAAATTAATGAAAAAAATATTTTTATTTTTAAAAAACAGAACACCTCATGAAAAATATTCTATTCACAAGTAATGCCTTTTCTGTGAGCAGAAAAGCTTTAAATGTTTTTCCAATGGCTAGAACTTTGGCAAGAATTTCAGTTCCATATTATGTTGTTTGTTACAATATTTACCAATTCTCTGATAATTTTCTTGGGCCTCACTCTGATACATCTTGGTCCCTCAAAATCAGATGCAGTTTTCTGTCAAGCATACAAAACTGATTATGGAACAGAAAAAAAAAAGAATGTGTTTTGGGGAACTAATCTATGAATGGAGAAAGATGTCACAGCTGTAAAGTAATGGTTATGCCTTGAAATACTTTTTATATATTTAAATATGTCCAAATCTAATATAAGATTCATTTAAGGGATTTTGCTTGGAAGGAAATGGGCAGGAAGAATCATTTGCTATTCTATATCAGAAGCCAGCCGTCCAACCCTGTCCAACAACCAAAAAATATTCCAATATCTAGAGCATTATATTTATACTATAAAACTGTATTTATCCATTAATAAACCAGTGATAATACCTTTTAAAATGAAAAGTTGGACAGATATAGCATGGAAGAAAAAACAAGAGCAATGGGTGAACTACTGGACTTTCTTAAGAAGAAAGAGTGCAACATGCCCTCTCAAATGTCACATGAAGCCTTCTTCATAGTCTCTTTCCAGTCTTCATATAATCATCTCTTTCTTTCTGATTGTTCTGCTTTCCAGCCTGACACTTTTATGATTTCTTTTACTTAGTTTGGATGTAGACTGTTGTAGATTTTTAACAAACAATTGTGATATGTTTATGTTGGATTCTACAAATCTGTTGGCTTATATGCTTTGCTGATAGAAATGTTCATTCTGAAGGGAAAGACTATGTCCAATAAAAGCATGCCTTGTTGGACTGGTTTAGCAGCTCCTCCAGACAACTTTGCTGTTATAGTGCTAGGACAATCCCAGCAGTTCAAATGATGGTAAACTGCAGTGTCCTTTGAGAACTCTGAAAATTGAACAAGATTCAACCTTAGCATTAAATGGAATGAAGGAAATGCTTCAGGAAGTGGACTAGAAAGCCAGTGATCTCAGAAAGACTTCTATTTTCTGTCCTCCCAACCCAGTGCCCAAGATAACTAATTCGTTGTCTGTTTTATTTCCAGACAAGCTAATTGATTCATATGCCACAGCTTTTTTAAAAAGACTTTTTAATCCCACCTTTATTATTTTAGTAACTGACTCAAAACTCACCCCATGAAGTGAGTTGGGCTAAGAGAGAGTGACTGGCCCAAAGTCACTCAGTGACTGTGAAAACGAATGAATAAGGAATTATATGAACACAATGTTTGATCTGCTGTTGCCTTAAACATGCCATTCTGCCATATTTATTTGCTTCTTTTTGAAACTGAGTTCTATAATAATACTCTTACTCAGACATCTCAAGCAGGTTTTTCCCACAGAATTGCTCGCTTTGACAGCTTCTGATATCTTTGTTATTTTACGTCAAAACAAGTTGCTAGGGGAAAATTAAATCTTCTAATTAAAATACAATGAGGTTGCTAGTTTCCCAGAACTACTCAGGCACAGATCCACAAAAGGAAAAAAAATACAAAAAGAAATAGATTCCCTATGTCATATTGTAGTTTTCCAGGTCTGAACAAAGATTGTTAGGGAAAATACTCAGCCAAAAGCTTTGATCCATACAATTCCTTCTAGGTGAATCATTTTGGCATAAACAACATTCTGGAAACCATGTAGCAGAAGGTAGATGACAATTTCTTCACTGAAAAGTATAGAAATTCATTCTGTAAAGCACTGATTAAATTAGTGTCCCATACAAGCAACCAATTATTGATTCTGGAAAAATCAACTGCCAAGTATTTTTAATCTTAATTTTTAAAATTAGATTCCGTTAATGATTTGCCAGAGTATACTGTCACAAGAAGTGGCAATCAACTCTGGAGGGCAGAAACTGATCACATAGTCCTTTACTTATCCTCAGCCCACTGTGTCTGTGACCCCTTAGTCTACTATTCAAGTGGGGTTCTGGCTGCCAGCAACTGAAGTATTGTAATGGGGTTTACCTGCCACACTTTATTTTCTTTGGGGCAAATCTCTGTGCTTTGATTGACTATTGGATGCAGGGATAGGAACCTCTGCTTGCCCAGATCAGTCATTGCTGCCCCATTAATAAATAGTCCTTCCTTGTGTTTTCCCAGATTTGGCTCCATAAACTCTGCTGCAACTACTATTAATCTCTAAGTAATATACTCATTACACAATGTGCCTCATGTTCATAGGTCACTGGATTGAACCCATCAGAAACATTTTCTTTTCTTAATCACTAGTTTTCTTGAGCTACCCACCTCATCTGCTTGCTTAAAAAAAACCCCAACAGTTTATTATTATTGTTGTTGAAATGATGGAGCTTTCTTTTTTTTTCTAAGCACCCGAATAGTCCAAATTAATAAATACTGCAAATAATAAAGGAGCTAGAACTTATTAGAAATTAGAAAACAGTAAAGGGAGTAATCCAAGGAAAGAGAAATAGTAATTAAAAAAAATATGCTGGATTTCAGCCACTGACCCTGTACTTATGGTTTGCTTTTCTGGTGTCAAAAGTTGGGACAGCAGCATGGAAATTGTCTATGAGATGGGTGGATGGATGGTTGTATTTTGTTGATGCTGGGATCTAAGCTAAACATCTGGCAAGCAATTACTGATATTATATGTCCCAAACCAGACAGAATTTTCTTAAACCAACTTGGAGTCCAGCTAAGCATCAACATGGAACAGCAACAACTTAAAGGCATAGTGGAGAACAGTCCTAAATCTTCCCCTATGAAG